TGCCAATTTATTTCCGAGTTAAATTTTATAAGACTAGAATTTTACAAAGCATGCATTACATGCGCGCCATTTATTTCTGTATATGTATTATTTATAATAAACTACAATTTAAAAAATCTAAATTAAAAAAAGAAATACTTTTCAAAATATGAAAATTTAGCGTAAAATGATAATATAAATTAATAGAAGATACAGAAAATCTTTATCCTAAATTTATATTAAGTTAATGTTAAATATTTCTCGAGATAGTAATTATCCCATACAGTATTTATTATTTTTTAAATATATTGTTAAGATTAGTTGTAGCATCTTAAGTAGTTAAGACGTGATCGTTTTGTCATTCAAACGGCACGACTCAAGTGACAAGGTGACAAGGTAATAATGCGAGACATGCCGTATATTGTTGAAGTCGAAACGTGATCGCGATAAGTATCAAAATAATTTGTTATAACCATTATCATTCGACTTTTACCATTATCATTCGTCAATTTAAATGATTTAGAATAAGAGTGCTTAATAAAACAATTATATAGTATATAATTAATATAATAAAATATATATACATATATATATATATATATATATATATATATATATATATATATATATTCAAAACTTCGCTTTGATATATTTCTTCTTGGATATAAATTTTTAAAAATCAATAATAAAAATTCTGATTCTTAGCTTATATTTATATTCCATACAGCACAGAATCTTGTAGCAATATTATTAATATTGTTGTAACATTGCAGAAACATTGCAATATTGCTGCAATATTACTGCAATGTTCTGTGCTGTATGGGTATAGACTTAATTTCATATTCTGATATATGTATGAAATATCCAAGTAGTTATATTAATATATAGATAATCCATTCAGTTTTGCTTCGTTAATTCGTAGGAATGTCTAGAAATATAAAAGGGCAAATCAGATAGAATTCTTACAAAAGAAATATTTAAAACTTTGCAATATCTTTCTTGTGCTTTTGTTACTTTTTTCGACAAAGAGCTAACCAGAAAGTAACTAAGTATTGAAACACAGCATACATATATTCATATGTGCATACAAATTCATAATAGTACACAAGAAAAGACAAAGATTTTTCTAATTTTGGAACTCGAGTTGTATGAAACTACTTTTGAATAACTGTATTGTAACAATAAATGGAATCATTGAAAAATAAAGAGTTAGGAAAGAAAATATTATTATAGGGAAAAATTAAAATCTAAAAAAAGACGTTATGAAAAAACAAGTAAAATTGTGGACTATAATAAACTATCTATCTATTTATATAATAACTGTCTCAAATTTTAATTTTAAATTCTTATAGCTGCATTGCAGGCAAGACTTGTAAATTTTTTTTTAACTTTTAAATGAGAAAAAGAGAAATATACATATATATTTTTTTCTTTTTTAGAAAACTAAAAGAGGCTTTCCAAAAGATTTTCAAGAATAAGAGAATTTGAGAATCCTATTTGCAGAAATCACGAAATCAAACCTAAGCTAATAATTCAATCATAAGTTGTTTAACATATAAAAAAACGTGCGTAGCAAATATTTTAATTCGCATTTTCTCATGTAAAGCAGATTATATAAATGATCGAGAATAGTAATACATATCATACCAGTTTATTCCGCATAATCTTATTGTTAACATAATTGTCTAGTAAAGACATAATTGTCTAGTAAAGAATATAAAAGAGGAAGATATTGGAAAAAAATTTTCTATCATAAACTCCTTATATTATCGATTATATTATGGTCTGAAGTTTGGAACTCTAATGCACGCGATTTATTCCAGATTTCATTATTTCGTCAAGTTTCTTTCTTTTCTCTAGTATTAAAATGCCGCTTTGAACTTATAAAACGTTTAAATCAATAAAAAAACACATAGCAGAAATGTAGAAATTGCATGGATATATTCTGCACATTACGTATGTAGTACAGATTCGATAATTTTCTTTTAATCCTTCCTGCGTTTTTTTGATAATGAATATATATATATATATATATATATATATATATATAATATATAATTAAATATCGTTACATTCTATATATTCCTTCCTTCCTAGGAGGCTTTAATATGTGAATTTAAAATGTTTTATAGAAAACTTCTTTTTCATCAACGCAAATGTTAGTAATTCTTAAGTTATTTGCAGAATAAGAATTGTTAATGACGAAGATGTACACGGTCTGGCTATAAAGTTTTAAGACTAATTTTATAAAATGTGCCTAAACAGCATCACCTATCTTTCACTTATCTTTCGCCACTTGAAATCTTTTGCATTAATCTTTAACTATGCTTCTGTTAAGTTTGATCAATATTGGTTCAGTGCAGTTCCTATTCAAATCTATTTTGTGTGACGTGTTTGTTTTGTCTCGTCATAGAAGCGTTTATCGAGCAACGTATGCGATCATGTTTTGTGTAAAATTAGGTAAAGTTACCACAGAAACAAATAAAATGATAAAAAAGCGTAGAATGGATTAAAAAAAATTAACTAAGAGCGGAGATATTCTGATTCTAAAAGTCAAAAATAAAAACAATGCTCATCGCTTTGTTTGATGTGGAAGACATGATTAGTAATGAATTTGTTCCACGAGGGACAACAATTGAATTTTATAAGACCATGGAAAAGTTATTTGCAAGAATTAATCGCGTGCGACTTGAAATGAAAAGGAATGATGATTGGTTTCTGCTTCATTACAGCGCTCCAGTGCATAACGTTGCAATCACTTTTTAGCATCTGAAAAAGGTGCTTTTTAGCATCTAAAAACGCGCTTTTTAGTATCTAAAAACGCACTTCATCATCTCTCCCTACTCTCCCAATTTGACTTTAGCTAGCTATTTTCTTTCCCTCAAATTTAAACTAAAATAAAAAAGAAGCCGATTTGATGATCTGAAGCAGATTCAAAGCAACGTTGTAAGATAATTAAACAGCGTCCCAGTTTCGGATTTTTAGAATACCTTATACAAGTTGGAAGAGCAAGGTCGGTGTGCAATTAGAAGGAATATATTTTGAAAAATAAATGATAATATTGAAGATATAACGACTGCTTTATTTTTGGTAGAGATAGTTCTAAGACTTTATAGCCAGACCGCATATTAATTGGCGATTTATGTGATGCGTGGAAAAGGTACACCACTGCTGCACTCTTTTCCACAAATGAGTTTGATGAATGTAGAATTAAGCTCTCAAAGCTAGCAAAAATTTAATTACAAATTCTAAAATTTAATAGCTCACTTATTTACTAATTCCAAAATTAAAGCGGATTAAATTGCAGACTCGTGCAAATCGATAATAACATTTAATTCTTTAGTCAATTTTTGAACGAACGTTATCCATTTAGATGTTAGAAGAGAGAATTTGTGATTAAGACTGCCTTTATTGGAAAATTTAAATACGTTGCCTTTTAACTTTTCGCACGTAATAAATCTGAGGTGAAATAGTACATTTAATGTATACTGCAATTCTTCATCCTTTCGCGGCATTTTATTTGCTTTGACTGCAAGGTCTCGCAAGTTGAGTAAATAGTACATTACGGTTTGTTTCACGTTTGTACGACACATGCCAGCGTTTACGTATTCTCGCTAAATAACAGCTTCGAGAAAATATAACGTGTCTCCTGTGAAATGTGCGTATTACTTTTTTGAAATAAATGGTTTATGAAAATTACATGAAAAGATTTTTCCATCTTTCTTGTTGTAAAATATTTGATTAAAAATATCGAATAATTGATTTATAAATATATAAAAGTTATGTATGTTGTAAATTTTCTACGCGAACAAACGAATTTTACTGGCGCTTCTGTGATCTGTGTTGTGCATTAAAGTTCTTAATTCCTTTAAAAAGTGTTTATTTATTTCGCGCATCTCGCGAGCGGCTGATCTCTTTAGCGCGCCTTCGATATCTATCGAAATCCTCGCCGCAAGCGTAACATTTTGGGAGCTCGTCCACCAGGAAAAAATCTCGTTATAATGGGAGAGTTTTTTATAATAATGTCCCCTATTTTCTGATATCAAATTGAGTATATACGAATAGCATATTTTTAAAGATTCTTATAGATATGTTATTACTAAAAAAGTACACAAAGTATACGTATCACAAAGTGTACGTATATTACTATTTGCACGACAATATATCGTTCAGGTATTGCTTATGACTAAAATGTCGTATTTGTCTTATACTTGATCAAACGAGCCTAACAATCCGCAAATAACCTACCGAAATTCTATTACTTCTTATAACAAATACTTTAGTTATTGTATTGTTTCTCAAACAAAAACGATCAGAATCGAATTTTTTTATATCCATTAGTCTCGGAAGATGGTAATGGAAATAATGTCAATTTTTATGATTGACCGATTGACATAAATATGCTTGATTCGTACATTTCGTCATTTTGAATGAAATTACAATGATACGATAATTTGCAACGCGATTTGCAGGGCACGTAACGATTTGTCATGACGTATAACTTGAATTCCAAGTTATACGTCATGAACAAACAATAATATATAAAATATGTGAGCAAATAATTTTATATTTATATATTTTATATTTATATAGTATTTATATATATCACGGAAAGCTACATAAAAACAAAATTAAAATATAATTAAATTGAAAAAATATTACAGTTATAATGCAAAGTTTTCTCAATTTGTTAGTCAATATTGTCGTGTAACGGAAGACGGAAAAATCGATTCAATTCGCTAAAATATCCATGTAAATATCCAGGTTTTTAATTCGAATTTGACATTAAAAGTATTTTAAAATCAAAAGCTATTTTTTTAACTATTATTTTTTATGTTTTTACGAAGAGTTAGCACCAATCATATTAAATTATAATTATATCATTAATTATATTATATATAATTAACTCCATTATTGTTAAATTTCGCGTATCAAAATTCAGAAGTTTATTCGTAAAAAAATCAATACAGTCAAAGATCAAATATAAAAAGACTATAGAGAAATGATTCTTAAAATCTTACCTTCGCATCGTTTCAAGTTTCCTTTGCCTCGTCTTTTCTACTCCTATTCGTTTCCACTAGTATTTCAACGTATAATCAATCAAGGAAATGCAATCAAGAAGATGTCGAAGCGAATCCACGAGAATCGAAACATTCGCGATAAAATACTGATACATAAGAGCTCGTCGTAAAATAGAGCAACGAGGAAGATGATGCGCTTTGACACTTTATATTCGAAAATCGGAACCAAAAGAAGAAGATAAGCGACGATTCTCTGGGAAAGTGTAACCGCATGTACGCGGATTCGATGTAGGCATAACTTTGGCTTGTTAGCTGTTTCACTTATCATGGGAATTCTAATTGCAACCCAAGTAGATTCGCAAACGGAACGCTAAATGACTAAGAGCGTTTAGCGGTAGTTGATCGTTTCTAGAATATTTCCTTCGAACTCCCTCGATGGAAAGGATACTCAGAGGAAACTGGCATCGAGATCGCATAGGAATCGAAATCGTGCTAATAATTTATTATCGATAACTGTATATTCACTTTGCAAAGATAATATAAAAGGAGAAGCGCATAAAATTGATTTCTGCTTCTATAAATTAATAAAATGCAAGTAAGCTGCATTAATTAATATAATAGAAATATTATCTGTTATCAAAAAAATTGTTTCAAAAAGAACTTTTCTATCATCTTAATCTTGAAAAATTTTGAAATGTCTAACAAATTATTTTAACTATTTAGAATCAAAATATTTAATAATATAAATCATAAATCATGGAATATCTTTTAGTTGCGATATATGTGTAATTGTATAGTATTTTATTCTCTTCTCATTTCTAAAAATGTCTCTGATTAGAATACTGACGATTAAAGTATTATTAATGATTACCAATATATTACTGATTAATGACATGATTGTGAGAAAATGTTTCTAATTAAAGTAATAATTAAAGTTTCACTAAAAATCCGTAATACTTCATTGGTTTTTAGTGAAAATATTTCACTGATTTTCAGTGAAACACTTTTGCTCTTTTATCTTATATTTTACTTGTCATGACAATAAGATTTCATTGAAAAGTCAATCATTACTACTAATTGATTTTTCTCAGTGAGATTTTATTACATGCAGTGTTATGGTTTATAACTGAACCTATTTATCAGAGATAAATAACACTATAATATTTATCAGAGATAAATAACACACATAATTTTATTTAAGAGAGTATGATGATCAAAATATATCGATAAATACACATATGATAATATGTGTTCACGCATTTACTGTCAGTTTGAATAGGCAAATTTAATATTTGACAAGCATAATAGATCAAACAATTGATTGCAAACGCAGGATTACAAACGCAAAATCTCAAAAACAAATCAAAATTTCCGTGTAACATTATAACTTTTTCATATACATGTGTACCAAAGAAATATTAATCAAGAAATTAAAATTTTATTAATATCAATATCTATATATGATATTAAATATTAAACATTAATATTAATAAAATTTATTAATATATCTAGGCAAATAAAATGCATCATATGCAAATGTATCATATGTAAATCTTTCATGTATATCAGAAAAATATTAATCAAGAAATTAGCATTTTGTTAATATATATTAATATTTAATATATTAAATATTAATATTAATAAAATTTTTTCTAATAATATTTCCAGGGAAGTGAAATATAACAATTATTTTAATAGTTATTTATATTAATGGACACATTTTCAACAATTTTAATCTTGATGATTATTGTACAATTGAAAATATTGATTAAATAATATTGCTTTATGTAGCTTATGTTTCAATCGCGATTTCTATAAATTTTAAGATATTTATATAAATATGGAAAATATATATTGAAGAGAAAGGACACGCGCTCACAATCAATATCCTTACTTCTATAACATATATCAAAGTTCATCGGAAATATACATACATATATATATATATATATATATATATATATATATGTATATATATTAACATATATATATATATATATATATATATATATATATCTGTTAATATAAATAATTATCAAAAATTTCTTTATTTATTTTTGCATTTAAACAAATAAAATTATTTTATATAAAACTTTTTATATAAAAACTGTTTCCTTTTTTTAAAAGTTTTTTTTTCATGTCCCTTCACATATCTCATATGTTTTATGTATTTTTTAATCTTAAAAACGAAGCTTATGTAAATCGTTCATGAAGCTATAGTAAAGCGCTTATAGTAAGCTCTATCTATATAAATCCGCTTTTATTTAACATTTCATTTTTGTACATGATTCAAGTAAAATTGCGCTAATCAAAAGGCTGACAATATCACGATATCCAGTTTAGCAATTGCTTTGCGCACGGCAAATATTTTTCGCTCATTATTTTTCCCATAAAGTGTGATTCTGTGCATCTCGATGAAGCGAGACAAACAAGAAGTACGTTGGAATAAAGGGAGAAAGATGGAGAGCACTTGGCTGCTATGTTTTGCGACTGCGTCGAACGGATGTGGATCCTCCGTGAATCCGAGATTCCCTTCAGTTTATGCTGCGCACCCGATCTACCGAATTGGTACCCGTTGCTGTATATCACAAAGATCCGTAATATATAAAGACAATCTGTAAAATACTTCCCTTTGTGGTGCGAAATTTAATACTAGTGTGTATTATTAATATTTATCGATAGTTTTGATTGAGATACGTTCTTTTCAGACAAATATAAAATTTCTTATTTTGGAATTGAAATTAACATATCGATCGAAACATACGTGCGAAACTCGGAAAAATCTATTGCTAAGGTAATAATTAGATATTATAATATGAAATGGCATTTTATTAAAATTTATGATAATTGTGTTAAGCATTCTTCTTATTCTTTATATAATTAAATAATGGTTTTTACATATTTCTGAGTTTATTTTCATCTATTTTAATTATATTTACAATTGTGAAATCTCGATAACAAATAAGAAGACAAATAAGTGAAATAAGTGAAAGTAAAAAATAGTAAAATAAATATATTTTAAAATGTAGCTACGTAAATTATGTTCTGGTAATAACCGTCAAAACTTAATTTAGTTTCATCTCGAAGAAAACACGCCAGTTTTGTAAAACAGAAGATTGAGGAAAGAGAGCGCTTATCAGGTAAACTTTAGAAAATTACCTTTTCTTAAAAGTCTCAAATAAGACTGAAACATGAATTGGAGTTTAAGAAAAATGGAAGTTCTTACACGTAAAATTCTAATTTTATCTAAGTTTTAAATATATGTGTATTTAGATTTAATTTATTTTTATATGAGATATATAAGAAACGATTGTAAAATTACTCTTTCCCTCTCTCTTTTTTCACAATATTAATTGCATATTCGATAATAATCAATAATTATCTTCTTCTTATAAGTAAAATGATAAGTAAAATGAATTATATGACTTTTATTAAATATTTATTATAGAAATATTTGATATTAAACTATATATATATATATATATATATATATATATATATATATATATATGATTATAATGTTCACTATTGGAAAAGATATATTTTATAACAGAAGAAATATATTTTATAGTACTATAATTAAAATCTTTTACGTATACGAAATTTATCAAATCATATATGTTTGCATAACGAAATAATTTTATTTGTCATACGATTTGTTATACACACAATGCGTTATCTATCACATAATTTATTATAATATATTAAAAGATGCATCGTATTCGTTAAAAAATAACATCTAATATCTTGAATATCTTAAATATTAATTTAAATGTCATTTTTTAAATATCCAACTGCATGTTAATTAATATGTCGATTATCTTTATTTTTTTGCTATAAAAGATAAAACAAAGTGAGAATAATAAGAGAGATGATTATGTTAGAATGCTTATTATGTATTTTAGGAACTATTTAAGTATATTTTTATATTTATATTTTTTTAATAAATATTTATTTAATATTATTTTTATCTCTAATTTTACATGTGCTCATGCGAGATTTAAAATAATCAATCCTTTGATAAGATATGTGTGCATGAGCAATACAGAAGGATTATATAGTAACTACTGTTTATAGTAACTATTTAAATTGATGAAAAAGTATCTTACAATTCATCATTTATTATACTCACTTCAATGAACTGATTTAAATTTTTGATAGTTCTAAAGTTAATATGAAGCTTTTGCTTCTATTTTTTTTAGATAAAAATAAATCTACAAGAAATTTAAGCAAACTAAAAAAATATTCAAATGTATAATTTTAATAAGCATTCTTTCAGATAATACATATTGATTCTAATCGCAGCTCGATAAAATTTCATACCAAAGAACATAAGCGTGAAAATATATGTTCTAGAGTAGCGACTTTTTGTGTAAACTTTAAGTGTAAACATAATAATTTGTTTCTAAATTTTGCTTTTTGCATTAAAACATATGACATAGAAAAGATTTATTGTAAAATACCAAAGGATCTATTATCATAAACAGTGCTTCGATATCAGTAACTAGATTAACGTTAAGTAATTTCGAGAAACAGGGAAATGGAGATGCTTTCAAGCTTGTTGCTTGAGTACTATTTGGCGCCTATTATGTATATCGAGCAAAAGTTTCAACAGGCCAGAGAGGAGAGACATTGATATTCGAATGAATAGTTACTATCGTTGTTCGTGATATATCGCAATTCTTTTGCAACATTTGTTACGCGAGTTTTGATTGTTTCATCTTTCGTCTCTTTGGATTGCACAATATATTCTTAGTAGTTGCAAATCCATCAACCAAATAAGCAAAAAATGGATTTATTTTTAGAGAACTGCATGTTTATTTCCAAAAAGAAAAGTTACATTGATATTTATTGTCAATTCGTTTTCACAACATACAATCTTAATAGTAATAGAATAAATATTAATGAAACTATAACTTCCTAACAGCATAAGTAATATAGATACATGGACTACAGATCTTCATAATCAGATTTTATAAAAATTATTTATTTACAAATGAAAGAAATTATTTATTATTTTTATTTACATAATTATAATATATAATCATGAAAACTGTAGTTATTATAAAACAAAATTGTAAATATTATTTTACATATCATATAATGATTATATGAGACATCACATTTATTATTTTTATTTGGATTGATGAATGTGCAGTTATTTAAATAGAAATAATAAATATTTATGTGATTTTGTTATCTAAATGTGATACATCATAGTTAGTAGTAATTAGAAGCAGTTTCATCCATTTGGCATCTAGATTCATTATTCGAGATTTCATTATTCATCTGCTATCTCATATACTATATGCTATAAACCCTCTTAATCAGAGGTATATATATATATATATATATATATATATATATATATATATGTATATGGAATGATTAATCGAAATCTAATTCAAGATCACTGCCAAGCCTTGCTGTTATCACGCTTCACTTCGCGAAGCGACATCAAATGTAATCGAATCCGGATTTATCGTTTATCAAACGAGAATTCTATTCTACTAAGCAACTTATCTAAGAGAATCTTATATAAATAATATTATTTTAGATTCTAAAACACACATACATAAGACAGAGAGAAAGAAAAAGACAGAGAAATAAACGAGAATTTGAAACAATTTTTATTTTTAAACATCGAGATTAACTATAATCATAATTTGCCTTATTCTCTATTTTGTTCAGATTAATGATATGTATAAAAATGCATCATGTAGTGATTTTTTGATAAGAACGTAAGTATGCTAATTCATTTCTGAATCCGCGCTAATACACGTGAAACGGAAAAGACTTATTACAGACATTGCCTCCAGGCACAATATCAGTAACTAGGTTAATGTTAAGCAACTTTAGGTAACGCAGGGGAGAGGAAAGGGGAAAGTGGAAATGCTTTCAAGCTTGTTGCAACGAGCACTATTTGGCGCCTGTCATCTATGTCAAGCAGAAAGTTTCGACAGACTAGAGATATTGATTTGAACGAATAGTTGTTATCATTGTTTGCGATACTTATAATTTTTTATAGTCATTTTTAAAGAGAGTTTTGGTTATTCTATCCCTTCAATGATTTCTTTAAATTGCGCAACACGTTTTATAATAGTATAATTTTGAAAAGAAAACTATCAAATAAAGTGATTGAAGATATTCTTGCAAGATATCGCATACTTAATTTATTTTTCATGTTTCAGGAAAAAATTAAACTATATATATATATATATATATATATATATATATATAAATTATATAAGACTTTTGAAAGAGAAAAAGACAGGAACATTCAGTTTTAAAGATTTAACTTGATAAATTAATTTAGAATAATTGTAATTTCTGATAAAATTCTGCAAAATACTTTTTTTTTTAAATATATGTATAGATATGTATAGAATATATGTATAGATAAATATATGTATAGATATGTATAGAATATATGTATAGATTTCTATCAAAAATTCTGTAAAAAATGTATGTAAATTTTGTATTTGTAGTTTCTAATATAATTGTAAACATTTTTTAACATTATTCTATAACGTTTTAATATTAAAATATTTTCAATTTCAAAAAATATAGTTATTTTGCTTTCATTATGTCTACGAAAAAATTCCATAAATTCAATGCAAATCTGGGTATTGCAGAGACATTTATAATCCTCTTATTAGAAAATTTTTAGTGCTGCATTTTGTTGCTATACTAAATATTCGGGCGACTTTATAAACATTTAATATTCTTGCACGGTCTAATCCTATTTTGTAAAATGTGAATTTAAAGACGTAAGAATATAAAATGTAGAAAATGGTAAGAAACAAAAAAGAATTATGATAAGTGACTTGGGTTCTCGCTGGTGATCCCGTATTAGGAGAGTTAAACTAGCATACAAACGTGACATGTAAAATAAGTTTATCTTTGAGCTTTGGTAGTAAACATATTAAAGTTCGTAGAAACATATCAAAGTTTATCTTGTAACTACGAACGTGTTATTAATGACAAAATATCCTATCTATCTGTTCTCAAATTTTCAGTTCTAATAATATTGGCTGACTAATAATAATAATATTATTAGTTTAATATATCTAAATAATAATAATATTATTATTCTAATATATCTAAATCGTCTTCGAAAAAACCAACAATTTGAGATTTATTATTAGAATTATATAAGAAAATTGTAGTACATGTAAATACCAATATTTGAAAATACATGAAATTTATCTTCTACATTTGCAGATTTAATTGCTATTTAATTTCTTAACATTATAATTTTTTTTTATTTTAACATCACTTAATAAAAATGACTAAATATTTTTTATCAAAAGATAGTTTATATAATTGAATAGTTTATAATTATATAATTAAACATGCATTTTTATTTAACTTGTTTTAAAAATTAAATAAATAATTAGTTTCAAATATATATTATGTTTAGAGTTAGGATTCTATTATTTTCTAATTATTTAACTAAATATTTTTGAAATTTTTATTTTATTACATGTGAAACATGTAATAAAATAAATTTATTTTATTATTTGTTAAAACAAGTTAAATAAAAATGCATGTTTAATTATATAAATATCAAATCACATTTTGAAGAATTATTTTACGTATTTGCACACAAAGAAATTTAAGAAGAAAATTTAAAAGATTTAAGAATTTAAGAAATTTTAAGAAGAAAAAGTAGCAAGTGGCATATAGATATCTTGGAAATGAGGTCATGGAATTTATTCAAGATTGAAAGTTTGATCCGATTTTGTATTATAAAAATTCCACATTAGATTTCTCTCTATCCGTCATTAGCTTCTGTGAAATTTTAATCGTAATATGTAAAGGCTGAAATTTTGCATGTAAAAGGATGTAATTCTTTTTAGTAAAAAAATATAATTTTCCAATATGTATGTGATGATTTCTGTTAATTTTATATATGTCTTGAAAACGCAATTTTTTATTTACAGTTTTTGTTGGAAATTTGCTCTCCATGTATATTCGACAATATTTTCTTATTGTAATGAAATAACATTTTTATATCGCCTTTTGATGTCAAAATGTTTTATAAGTTTTTTTATTACAGTATTATTTATTATATATATTTGTACGTTTTATATGACATATCATATACATATACATATGACAATATGTATATTGCTTG